CAAATCATCAAAAACCTTAAATAAATTACTATTCTTACCTTCATTAGTTCATGTATAGCTTATCCTGAAAATATATATCAACAATCCTTAAATTGTGAGTAATATATATTAATGCTCTGGATGTTACTAATTAGCCTATTCATGTTTTGTTATGTCAATAAGAATATCAGCTCTTAGTGTGAGACATTTCCTTTCAAATCCAACAAGAATGTGTGTTAATTTTTAAATGTGCTTCTCATTACTTATTTACCTACAAAAGAAAGAAGACAATTGACCTTGCTCAACATATTCATTTAGAAATTACTATAGTTCCCTCTCCTTGAAGATGGTGATCTCAGTTGTAAAAAACTATGATGCTTTGACAGGATAAAAATTGTGGAAAATTCCTTTTCTCTTGCCACCTTACTGCAAATACTTCACATGTCTGTCTGTCTGATCTTAATAGAACTTGGTATGCATATATTGATGAGATCTCAGTCAAGTATGAATTTGGCTTATTTTGAATGAAATTTTTTTTAGTTATTGCCCTTGACTTAATAAAAATGCACCAAATTTGGCTTGTTAACATGAAAGGGGCTACAGTTTATATCGGATCTTGATGGAACTTGGTATGCATGTATATATTGATGAGATCTCAGTCAAGTTCAAATTTGTCTATGTTCATGAATTCTTATTCGTTTATATTTGATGATTACTTATTTCTAAAAATCCATTTTGTGGAGAAACTCAGCATAACTGACTTTAAATTGATGAGATATTCAGGGTTTTTAAACTATAAATGCATAATGAAGATCTTCAATATGAGAAATTTGGTATTATTATGAAGAGCTTTAATATATTTTTGGTCAATAAAGATTTAGTTATCATCTCTGACAACTGCCAGTGGTTGTATGTTACCTTGCCTTGTAGACGCACTTACCTCCTAGAAAATTCATTTGAAAATGACATATTTTTCAGACTGAAAATTCCCGTCAGACAAAATTTTTTTGGCAACATCTTCAAAAACCCTTAACAATCTCCAAAACCTTCTATGATAATGTGTAAATTTTCTTGGCGGAAATAAAAAAAACAGGATGTTTGCTACCGTTAAATGTCGTCTGAAGCCTTTGTAACAAGCGATTGGCTTAAAAGAAGGAACTGTATCCAGTAGGGTAATGTGTCAACTTTTGTTGACGCATGACCGATCAGCAATTTGGATGTTGACAAAATGTTGCAATTTTCTTGAAACTTTTAATGTTTATATCTTATCATTGTATCCCTACCTAATACAGGTTTTGACATTATTCCGTAATAAATTTTGAATATTAAATTTGTGTTGTGAACATGCACATTACCAACTTTCTTATTTCATATCCAGATTTCTTCAAACTTGGTATGTACTTGTAGGCCTATGATCAAATTCTGAATATCTGAGATTTTTCTAGTGAGCATGTATAAACTTGAAGCCTATTTGCATTTGGAGTTATAGACAAAATGTTAAAATCGGTGTAGATTACCAATATGTACCTATTGTCATAACACGTCCTGTACTGTTATTGCAGGGCATTCTATCGAACACCCTGCTTTGTTTTCGTTAATCCTTATTTCTTAACAGAGTACACAAATAAAACGGAATGTGGTATTGTATTTTTCGTACCTATACTCCGTGGTCATTACATTTTAAACAGATAACGGCACAGTTTTGCAAAACCGGACATGAGCAGATGTGTGCAACTATGACTCACAACGGACAGCACTGGAGTGCTTATTTACGGCTCGATTTGCATAGGATTTTCTCCATTGTATTACATAAACGTAACGTCATACTATGGCACTTTAAATTATGCAGATTTGCTATATTTTTGCAAGTTGGCATCCCCAAATGCGTTTTCAGAAGTTTTGCATAAAATCCTAATTTTTGCAAAAATGGCCTTTCCAAGTCAGTTTTTCAACTCTTTAATTTTCAAAACGCCCAAAAACACATATATGCATATCATCAGAAATGTTATTCAAATTAAAATAAGCATCAATCAAGCTGCCATTTTGATTAGTGTAATATTTCTTAAAATTGATATTTCTCCCTCGTTTGATATTCAATTTGCATGTTTTACGTACCAATCGTGGCTTTAGACTCTTTGCAACAATAGTTATTACATCAAATTTTGTATTTTGATTTTGCTTTCTTTTTTACTCCTGAATGAAAAATTTCAATTTGTTCAATATTTGAAGCCTTTTATTTTGTGACCTTGAACTGTTAGGACCTTAAGTTTCACATGGCTGAAAGTTTAAGGCAATAACTATTTTCATTTTTTGTTTCTGACGTTAACTTTCGGTTTTATAGGCGATTGAAAATTGTGAAAATTTCTTTTAACGAGCTCTAGCAGCGACCATATTAATGTTATTAGAACAACAATTCTTACAGAAACGTAATGTATGCATCGAGAGCTTCCTGACAATATATAACATACATACCTTACATGCAAATTCAAAATCCCATGCACTTAACATGGTGCAATCATTGTAATTATCCAGTCAAATCTAATTAAAATCAAAATTCCAGTTCCATTTTCATTTTAAAGACCTTCCCAGTTTATGTCCAGTTATGGTGAATAAATAAGCTTTAGGGTTTGAACCGTTCAATGCTGTAAGTTGAGCTAAAGTAAACACCTTAATGGTATACCCCTCCCTAATTTGCCAACTTTCTGATTTATTATCCAAATTTCATCAAATTTGGTATGTATGTGTATCATCAAATTCTACATTTGATGGAAATAATGAATTTTTGTTGTGCGCAGCCATGCATTACCAACTTTCTTATTTCTTATCCAAATTTCATCAAACTTGGTATGTATATGTATAACCCATTTCTAAATTTTTGTTGTGCACATGCTCATTACCAACTTTCCACAATTCAATTTCTGAAATGCAGAGATTTATTGCAATTTGTTCACCTTTGTATGTACCTCAATGTCGAACACACCCTGTATCAGTACTGCGAAGGGAACAGTTCTAGTTTTTAGTTTTTTTCAATTAACAGTTTTGGAAACTTCTCTGTTTCTTGAATGCTTACAGCCAAAGATCAGTGGAACAAGTACAAAACAACTCACAACATACATTATTGAGAAGTTTGAAACACAAATCAGTCCATTACATGATAAAGGATGCTTATCGGACATTATGCTTTACAACTGTTTCATTCTTTTACGCCCACAGTGAACTGTGGGTGTATTTTGGTGTTGCCCCTGTCAGTCAGGCCAAATTTCATTTAGGCACAATAGAGGCTGCAGTGAATATCTGATCTTGATGAAACTTCGCATGTATATATATTATGAGATCTCAAACAATTTCGCAGTTATTGCCCTTGACGTAGTAAAAAGTGTCAAATGTGGCTTGTAGGCACAATAGAGGCTACAGTCTTCATCCGATCTTGGTATGTATATGTACGGATTTATATTTTGATTAGATCTCGATCAGATACTAATTAGATGAATGTTTCCAGAGTTATTCAAATTATGCTTGTAGACTTCATAGAGGCTACAGTTTTAATTCCATCTTGATGAGACTTGTTATGCATATATGTATTTATAAGATCTCAGTCAAATTCAAGTTTGGTATTAATCTGTTGAACACGTTTGGATTTATTGCCCTTGATGCATAAATTTTGGCTTGTAGACACAATAGAGGTGCAGTTTTAATCTGCTTTTGAGGTTTTGTCTTGAATATAAAGTATCTTTACAAAGTTAAGAAATGAGAGCAATATTACTTAGCTAATTTAGTGTATTGTAGTGTAGAAAAACTGAGCATAAATAATGGACATTAATTTGATGTGATATTAATAAATGAGTTTATGTGTATTTTAGTCCCTTAAAACTATGTTATCATTGCTGACAGCTGTCAGCAGGCATATGTTACATTGCTTGGCAAGCTATCTTTTTGTAGGTCAAAAAAATTACTTTGCTCAAATTGATAAAAACAATGCAAAAAATCTAGAAAAATATATTCCTTAATAGATCGTAAAGTTTTATCTAAAGAAGTCCAGTCATTAACTTTTTAACGCCAAACTGTTGAAAAAGAATTTACATAAAGTTTTTGGTAGGTGTAAGAAAACTACTGTATGGATTTAAGCAAAATAAACATCTAATTGTAGAAAAATATGTCTCTTACTTATTCTGAAAGTTTCAACTAATAATAACGAGCCATTATAAAGCCAAACATCAAAACTAATTCAGATTGCTTAATTGACTATAAGTATGTACTCTGTTTTTAATTAATTTTAATTTTTTAAAAAATTCAGGATGATCAAGTAGATACATAGATGTAAATAACATATTTTGGAAATATTTTCAGGTATAATTAACATATAAGATTATGAAAGGTTTGCATACCCTTTCTTAAAAGTGCACATAAAATTAAGAAGTAAAGACCCAACATGTTTTACACCCCAACCATTTCCTGACCACGATTATGTTGTTCCTCCTCAAAGTTTAGATGATAAGTTCAATGCATTGCTTCAACACAACAAAGAATTAGAAAACAGAATTAAAAGTCAAACTTCAACACAATTTGGTATAGAACGTTTTAGTTTAAATAATGATATGATTTTATTTTATACAGGATTTAGAATGTATAATGATTTTATTTCTGTCTTTGAGGCATTACAACCAACAGCTGCCAACATGATTAGGTGTACTCGGATCCAAAGACAGCTCTCACAGGAAACTTGTCTGAATGTAACTGCATTTCGTTTAGAAAGTTTATTGCTAATAGATCAATTGTTTTTATTTTTATGTAGGGTGAGACAGGGGTTTTCTGAAACTGATTTAGGGGTTAGATTTTCTATTTCTACTAGTTCTGTTAGTAGAATAATTGTTACTTGGTTTAATTATTTATATGTAATGTTAAGTATTTTACTTATTTGGCTAGATAAATAAACTATTCAAAAATTAATGCCTGATTGTTTTAAATTTTTATACCCCAATGTAAGAGTCATTTTAGACTGTACAGAAATTAAAATTAAAACACCCAATTCAAAAATCAGAAATTCTGAAATGTATTCCAATTATAAAAGCAATACTACAATGAAAGGACTTTTAGGCATTACCCCAAATGGTATGATGTCTTTTGTAAGTTCGTTATATACAGGCTCCATTTCTGATAAAGAAATTACAAAACAATCTGGTTTTAAAAATCTTTTAGAAGTTGGAGATGAGGTTATGGTAGATAAAGGTTTTATTATACAAGATTTGTTAACTGCAAAAGGTGCAAAAGTTGCCATCCCCCCTTTTTTAAAACAAATGGACCAGTTAACAAAGACGCAGGTGAAAGAGACACAACAAATAGCAAGATTAAGAATTCATGATGAAAGAGCTATTAGGAGATGCAAAGAAAACCATATTTTTGATAACATTATAGCCCTCACATTGGCAGGCTCCATAAACCAAATTTGGACTGTTTGTTGCTTGTTGGCTAACTTTCATGACAAGTTATTTTAAATAAATGAACACACAAAACAATTCATATTTACATGTACATTTTATTTTTTTAGCTGACTAGTAAGAAATGACAAGTTATTTTAAATTAATAAATTATAATATATTTATATACATTATATAGTCAGTCTAATTAAAATTAAACCCAACTTTCGTTTGTATTTTATTAGTTTCGTTTCAAATGTTTTATTAGCTATTAGCTTTTTACCTAACCACTACAGTAAGGTCTAACACTGTCATTCTTGACTTTTCATTCTGTTCCTTGACCTCTGTTTTAAACAATCACGTGGCTTCCCTTTCCAGCGACAGGATAATGTGACGCGATCAATAGGTGCATTCGGGGGCATATTAGACTAAGTCCACTCAAACTGAAAGTAGTCTTATACGCCTTGGAATGCACCTATTGTTCGCGTCACATTATCTCGTCGCTGGAAAGGGCAGCCGCTTGATTGGTTAAAACAGAGGTCAAGGAACATAATGAAAAGTCAAGAAGGACAGTGTTAGACCTTACTGTAGTGATTACGTTTAAAACTAGTAGCTAATAAAACATTTGAAACGAAACTAATAAAATACAAATATATTACATAAATGTATTACATACTACTTTCAAAATACATACAGGTAATGTAAGGTCATTTTTACATTACCTGTATGTATTTTGAAATGTATGTAATAAATTCAGAAGTAGAATTTCAATGTATCTTTGTGTTTTAATGTACATTTCATTTCATTGCAGACTAGCATACTTTAATAGCAAGTTATTTCAAATAAATGAACAGAACTTAAATACTTTACTTATATATATATGTTTGTATCAATTTTCTAAAATCTTAAATAATTTATTACATATATATTTCATTGTTGCAGATTTTCAGTGCAGTTTGTTATTTACATGTTTTTAATGACTATAAATATATAAAAAATAAAATATTTCCACAATAGACCTGTCAAAGTTTTATAAATTTGCGGCTGTTGGTTGTAATTAAGGGATAGATTTATTCTATTTTCATTTTGGAGGTTCCGACTTTGAGACTACAGACTATTAAATAAATTTTAATTTGAGTGCCATGGCCTGTGAATATTAAATTTGGATGTCTGCAATCCTTGATACAGAACTTCTAAAATGAAAATATAAGTATTGTATATTACCATTTAAGAATTGACCTCAACAGCATTATTGGTGTGCAAATGCAATTCATCACGTGACAAACTAAATATATCAGTCATTCATGTCTGTTAGAAACATGATAAAATGCATTTACACACAAATATTGCTATTGAGACCAATGTTTAATTTATATTAAAATTTGGATATTTCTAATATTACAAACTTCATAATTTTATAGGAACGGTTATTTTTATTTGCCACAAATCTTTCAGAAACAAAACGACAGTTATTATTTTGTTTTGAGATGTATTGATATATGCATTATTGTCACATGGCAAACAACAGTTTATCACACAATAAACGCCAGAAGGTGTAGTGATAGTAGAAATGTAAATATTTTAACATAAACATGTAAATAGTGAATTGTAAATAGCTAAATACCACTTCAATATTTTTTTATAACAAGGTATTTTATGTGTATTGGAAACATTGAGAACACCAAATTGCACCATTACAATTTTCAATCAGACTTCTATGGTTCCTTATCACTTATCACGAGGGGCATTATATGATAAAGCATATTTTGTGATAAGTGATGTCGTTGAACACTTATAACTGAATTGCAGGAACCACAGGCATCTGATGGAAAATTGGAATGGTGCAAATTGATGTTCAAAGTGTCCCTGATACACATAAAATATTTGTAAAACCTCTTTACAATCTCTTTAAATTATATATATACGTTAATATATTATAAAATGTTTTTTGTTGTATTTCTGCTTTACATATGGTAAGAAATGTTAAAAATAAAATATGTCTAATTTATCTTTCATATTAATCCACTTGTCATTACTATAATAAATTCTTTCTAAATGAAAACACCATGTTAACCCAGTTATTGCCATTTGGCCCATAACCTGGAAGAAATAGTCATGACTTTGTCGTAGTTTATAAGTTTGCTTGTCTAACTTTAAACACTTAATGTCACATATTGAGTCAACAGAGCTGGGACATTTTATTTCAAGGAGGCCATAGGGTGGGTTAGCTGTTGGATCATATACCTTTCTATCTGGTGAACAACCAAGATAAGAACAGCTTGGATTAATGACTAATCCACTTGCATATACATTGTTGCCTGAAATTGAAACATATTTAGCTGCTGCTTTTCCTTCATGCTCTATGCCATACCGCATTGCAGCAGTGGTTATTTTCTTAACATTAGAAAGACTCTCGGCAAGTTTTAGGAAATCCCCTTGTCTAGAAATAACACGCTTAAAAATAGAGGATGTCAATCGCTTCGACTTTAATTTGTGCCACATACTATTTGAAGCTTGATCTGTAGTTTTTACCTCAATATCTTTTGATTCTGAGAGATTTACTTGCAGACCATGAAAAACATCTTGTTGGCTATGCGTTAAGACCAATGGAAAATTTAAACTTAAATGTGAACATGGAAATGAAGGAAAATCTGTTACAGCTGGATGATTTTTAACAATATTAGTTGCATCTACATTATCAACTATCAACCATTTGCAAGGTATTTAAATTAGTGTTTGAAAGACAATCTTATCTGAGCATCAGAGTTAGTTGCATTTAAACAATTAGATAATGAACTTAAAAATTCTGTACATGGTAAAGGAACTGAAACTTGATTGTAAAATGTGGAATGAATTCCCTCGATTCGAGGACGTTTAGTAGAGGTTGCCTTGTTTGATGTGTCATCTAGAGATATTGATGAACAAATCTTTCTTATACCAATGTCTTGTGCCTTTTTTGGTGTTATTCCATCTGTTCTAGCTGGGATACGCCATGTTTGTTTCTGTGATGTTTTTGATGTTACAGTTGGTACAGTTTTGAAACCACATTTACTGCAATGGTGTAAAAGATACAGCAAACCTGTAAATACACATTCAAAAACATTTAATTTAATCGAATATAAAATTATATTATTTATAATATATTTGTATTTTGACATAAAACATGAAACATTGTTTCTCTGTGACAACAGTGAAAAAACTTGCCAGAACATATTTAGTTTTAAGTAACATCTCTCTCAATATAGACAAAATTCCAGTGACAAGGCAAAGCAAGAAAGCTCAAAATTCTCCAACTTACCTAAAATATGGTTACAGTCGCCCTTTCCAGCTTTACAGGAACACAAACACTCTCTAATATCAACACCATTAGGCCTACTACTTGACGTTTGACTCCCTGTACTGTCACTTTCTTCATGATGGCTTGTTGATAATGTTAGGCCCACAGAATGTGGTTGATCATTCTTCTTCATTGACTTGAAACATCTTGCTCTCACACAACATCCATCTATCAACGTACGAACTAGAAAGATTAAGAAACATAACTAGGCTATAGTAAGTTTTATTTGACGTGCACAATCGATGAAAAAAAAAATAACAACAAAAATCAAGATGGCAGAAACGTCAAAAGCCATGACTTCTACTTCATTCGCTTTTTTACAAGGGACAGTCTAAATACATTATTAAACTTTATATAGTATAGTTCTCTCAAATACAATTCATAAACATTTTAGTCTGAATTCGCATTCATAAGTTTTTTGTCTCAGAAATGTTTTGACTTGGAGAGTAGGCCAGGTGTAGGCCGAATGTCAACAAAAAACAGTTTAGAAAGATTTGAGTGCTTGTAAACACTCTAGAAGGCACAATTCTTGATGGATTTTGACGAAACTTGGTGTGAGTGTTTGTAATCGCCCAAGGATAAACCCTATTGAAAATCAGAAAAATATTTAGTATGAGTTATTGCCCTTGTTCTTGAAAACGGGTTCAATCTTTAGCTCGTAAACACTCTTGAAGGCACAATTCTTGACGGATTTTGACGAAACTTAGCATGAATGTTGGTTATTTCCCATGGATAAACGGTATTGAAAAATTGAAAAATATTTAGTATGACTTATTGCCCTTGTTCTTGAAAACGCGTTCACATTTTAGCTTGTAAACACTCTAGAAGGGACAATTCTTGACGGATTTTAAAGAAATTTGGCTTGAGTGTTGGTTATCACCCAAGGAAGAACCCTATTGAAAATCAGAAGAATCTAAAAATATTGAGTATAAGTTATTGCCCTTATTCTTGATAACGCATTCAATTTTTAGCTTGTAAACACTCCAGAAGTCACAATTCTTGACGGATTTTAACGAAATTTGGCTTGAGTGTTTGTTATGGATAAAGCCTATTGAAAATCAGAAAAATCGAAAAATATTTAGTATGAGTTACTGCCCTTGATCTTGAAAACTCGTTTAATTTTTAGCTCATAAAAACTCTAGAAGGCATGATTCTTGAGGAATTTTGACAAAACTTGTTTTTATTATTCATTACCATGCTGAAGATTGAATATTTGTCTTCTAGAGTTTTAACGAGCTAAAGATAGAACACGTTTTCAAGGACTAGGGCAATAACTCATACTCAATATTATTCAGTATCGCCCTAAAGAGTTCTAAAGAAGTGTATGACTGAAGGTTGAATATTTCATACTGGTGATTGTTACTGTACTGCTAAATATTTAGGTTCAAAATCAAAACTGCCAGTGGGCGTATATTACCCTGCCTGGCAAGCTATCTTATAATTTTAGACTGATGAAATTAATTAACAATTGAATTGATCTTTTTAGGATTAGTAAATTACAAATGAAATATATTCCCTCCAAATCTCACCAGTATGTGAAACCATGTGATGTTTATACAAGGGAGATGATGATTAGTATAATGGTTGCTTAATTGATTCATTTTGCTTACATGTGAGTGTAAATACATGGTCGCTGCTCTTGTAATAGTCGTTAGTTATATTGAAAAGTTGTAGGGGGGATTTTATTGTTGTCACATATTAGAGGTGATTAAGTAAAGGTGGTCGCATGATCAGGATTCACTGTGCTAAGTGCTATGGATTTATCAGGTTATAGAGGGATCCTGTTGTATAATAGTTGCACTGGGTCGGTCTAAAGATTAATATGTACACTCATTGGCTAAGTTTGAAAATCTAATTATATGTTTAATTTAAGGTAATTTAATCCCCTTCAGGTGTTTTTCTGTATGGCAGGGATATTTCATGTTGATTTGTACTTGTATTGGGTCGTTTACCTATGTTTGCTGCAATTTTTTAACTACAGAATTATTTGGATAGTATTCATCCTCAATTACCTACTGTAACATCATGTCCAAACCACACCCCCATTCGTCATACTTCCTTTGGGCCGTGGTAACACAAGTGACAAAAAATTCATAGCTGAATATTGTCCCATCAAGACTGGCCCTATTGTATTGGTAGTAAATCTTGTTATGACGCTTGTATACTAAACAAAAGGAAAGTAGCGTGCCATTATATATTTTGATGAATATGTACGGTATAGAATTGAGTAAGATTTTCGACAGAAAATCAAACCTTACTTTGGAATATTTACTAGGCAAGAATGTGTTCTTATTTCTTAAAATGGGCGGCGGCAAAGCGGGTTGTGTTTTGTTTACATGACCTCATTTCTGTTCTACCAATCTGATTGGTCAGATTTAAATGCCACCAATCTCATTTCCATGCCCACAAATTGAAGTGTAGTGGGCTTAGTTTAATACGGGTTAATAAGACCATGTCAAAACCCGTATTCGTGATACGATGCCTACTGTAACTGATTTATTGTCAAAATTGGTGTTGGTGATTAATTGTTGATCGACAAAGCTAAAACTGATACTGTAGTCAGATATACAGATATGTACTACATAATTCATGTAGAGGTATGGCAAAGCTAATGGCCTTCATTTTCTGCTTATGAGCTCATGAAGCTTGTTGAAATAGCACATCAAGCAAGTATGCCTTTATGCACATAACAGTTATCTATGTTTGACATACTTCAAATATTATGTGTAGTAATTAGAATATGCTAAATATAGAAACTGAAAATGTACGTACTCAATTATTGATAATACTTAATGTTTTAATTAATCACTTCATTTACTTTAATTAAAGTTCACATAGATTTTCTCTTTCAAAATCTATTTGTGGCCTAATGCTAAGATTGATCAAACTTCCACTGACAGAAGATTTCAACATGGTTTTAAATAATCATACTTAAAACTTAATTAGAAAAATATAAGCTTACTGAAATAAAAAAAACTGAAGTGTAAAGGTTTGACTTCAATATGTAGTAGATAGTTAGTATTGGACAATTATTGTACTGTGTCCCCATAGATTGGAATTAACAAAATACTCACAGTTGATTCATTTAGTCATTTGGTTCTTACAAAATTCTTTCCTTTTAAATCTTACAATTTATGTTCTAATTAGCTTATTTTTAGATTACATGCTGGGAAAGTAACATTTAGCATTAAGTAAAAGTGGTAGAAACTTTAAATTTCAAAATGGAAACAATATGTGTCCAGAATTAAATAAACATTAATCTAATGACACATTTCTGAAATACACTACCTTTTTCAAATGTCATACAGTTTTCAAAGTAATTTTTTTTAAAGTTTTTATAGGAACAAAAATGAAAAATGGTTATACTATTTCATTATCTATGACAATAAAACATCGTCGTTCTTAGTTTAAAGATGTGAATTTAGGTCTAAGTTTGTTTCTAGCTTAAATCTACAAAAAAAATTTTGAATTCTGTTGAAGGATTTGACATGGAAAAAGAATCAGCAACATAACCTGATGTTAATGGTCTAATTTTGCAAAGAATATTTCAAATTTGAACATGCCCAAATCTAACAGTTTCACAAAACTGTATACGAGGCTACACTAGAGTCAAAAAGATTCACAAATGAAAATATATTTAACAGATTGACTCAATTTATATTGCTATATAGACAGTGGAAAATCTACCTGGAAGAAGAATATCACTTGCAGGCTTACTATAATGAGCATGTAAATATGTTCATTAATATCTTCATCAAGTCTTGTCATCATTAACTTGTATGAAAAGTTTTGTGAGTAATGAATTTGTGTTGTCCTCGGGGTTGCAAGAAATTTCAGTGTAAATCCAAAGTTATTTAAGAATAATAGAGTTGTCATTTCCAATCTGATATTATGTTCATTATTGAAAGTTGAATTGCATCTTCTGAAAGCAGTAGCCTCAGGTGAAAAGAATGAAATAGAGCATACTTGTGATCGTATCTGGGCAATATGATATTTTCTTAATTGACTCCTGATATAGACAGTTTTTTATTATGATAGGTTTAAAAATCATAATAGAAAAATGTTACAAGGTTTCTGACAGTTGTGTCTGGTTAGTTTGGAAACCAGGGAGGAATGCCCCAGATAAGGAGTTATATTGTGTACACATAAAAGTCAAAAAAGCAATTTGGTTGTATGGCTTATTATGATCAATCAGACACAGTTTTTTGTGTATATATTATATTAATGTCAACAACTATCAAGCTTCTGAAGATCAATGAAGGATCAATAGTTATATATAACAAATGGGATGTACTGGTTTTAAATACAAGTTAAAATACACCTAGGTAAGATAAGACCATACATGTGTAATCTACCAATGCACAATTCTACTGATTTTTTTTTTTTTTTTGTCTTACCAAATTTTCACTGGACCTATAGTTTTCAATGTCAGATTTCTCTACGGTAAATCAACAAAATATCTACTTGTATTTTGATTGCTTAATCTCATTACGTTGTCGTTATTATTAATCCCCCAATTAAGATGGTATATAACAACATCCAGTAGATTCTACTTTCACTTTTACAACAAATTTTACGGTAGCCCTTTTACACGCTTTGAGAAAATTCCCTGAATCTTCACTCAATCTCCAGATTTTTTTTCCTGACCTGTACACATGTATGGATAACAAACTTTTGTTGTAATTAACACCATTTACATTACAAAATTTATTTATCTCAGAATTTTGTGCATTTTTCTGCGTTCCAATTCTGACATATATTATTAGTGTTTGCCGACCATTTTGGACAGAAAAATTGAAACCTTTTTCATTGATAGAGTGAAAAGCTCATTGTGGGAATGTCAGTAACCTGGTACCCTGTTGTGTTTGCTTATCGCTAAACTAAGTGAAGCTTTAAATGGAATGGGGAACTAGTTTAGGATTGACGGATGATGTAGAATTGATTGTGACCTGTTGCCACCTTAGAACAGTGCTGTAAAAAGTAATTTGAGTTTTAAAAAATTATTTCAAATATAATTAGTTGTCATTATTCATTAATTTGCTTTGAATCTGCACACAATAGAAATTTCACACATAGCAAAATTCATTTAATCTTAAGTGAAATCCTTACCTTATGACTTTTTTGTGGAACAAGTAATTGTAAACTTACGATAGCAATAAATTCATTACATATTTGTATTTTTGTGGAAAGATACTCAGTATATAATATGCCTAGAATGTTTTAAATGCTCACATTATATTGTGGTTGAACAGTCAAAAAATTAATCTGCTATAGAAAAACTACTGTAGTCATGAAGGCTTGGTCGAGTAGATTAATGACATATAATATTATGAGTTCGATTGCATTATGTATGTGATTGAGGCTGAAACAATTCTAGTATATTTTCATGTTCACAAGTTAAATATATCACGAACAAGTAAACATACTATCAAACAAACACAGGTATGTGTCAGAATCAATTTGGTCTTAAAACATACTCTCTAAACTAAATCTTATGTCAATAACACAACCAAATGCAGGGCTAAAACTCAAGGAGAATCTTGGTTGTTTATTGCAAAAGCAGTGTTCTGAATGCTATACTAAATATTCAATTTTGTTAATTAATCACATGTAATTAACACCATTAGCATAGCATTATTAAAGAGTTATCATTTCTGACTGCTGATAGTGGGCATATGTTACCCTGCATGGCAAGCTATCTTTCAATTTTTACATTAATAAAATTCTTGCCCAAAATATTTTTATATACAAATTTAGCGCATTTTTTAATGCATATCCCCAAATACAAATGTTCAACTGTGAATCTCGCCCAACAACATATATCTGAAGGTTAGGATTTTGAAGACAGATGGCGCTGATCATATTGACACTGCGTTTTACTTCAGTGGTCGTATCTTTTGTGTAGCAAACTTTTTTAACACTAGCTTTTGGAATGATTGTAATTGTTGCTATTGTTCAATATAAAAACCAAGAGAGAAGAATTAAGCCTACTGAAAGGCATGAATTAGAATGGAAATGTTTTCTGTTCCTATAATTTTGCGTATATGAGCTTCCCTTTCATGACTTATGGCCTATAGTGATGGTCTTTCGACAGATTTTGCAATAGAATTATTAAAAACCCAATCTCAAAGTGTCATATTCATGCCTAACTGTATTCAGGCACTAGTCAGTGACTGATATCCAATATTACCATAGGCATATTCTTTCAAAGTCTGCAGTGATGAAGATGGGCGGATTTTACGATTTGAAACCAAATCCTTTAGTACCGTTTGAATCTAGCAAAAATTTCAAAAACGTTGCATTTCCATGCCTAATTCTGTTACTGGCTAGTAAAAGGCTTAGTCTCTCCATGGCCAATTTATATAAAATTAATAAATACTTTCAGGTAGTTTGTTTTGGAATGCCGAAAGAAATTTTTGAAGCCAGTGAATTTTCCAATGATGTCAATCTAGTTAATTGAGACGTATAACATGGATTGAAATATTTTTTGATCCTATACTTCCATGGAACTAACTGGCTATCCAATATGGCTGTTAAAAAAAAAAAACAGTAAGAGGATATAAATATTGCTTAACAGTTATAGATTTGTAGATTACGAGATATGCTTGGGTTATTCCTTTGAAAAACAAAACAGGTTTATCAGTCAAACATGCTTTTGAAACGATCATGAAACAATCTGGCCGACATCCAGAAAAACTGTGGGTAGATAAAGGAAGCGAATTTTATAATAAAAATATGAAATCACTTGGGTTTGAAATTTACAGTACTCATAACGAGGGAAAAGCTGTAGTAGTAGAAAGATTTAACAGGACCCTGAAATCAAAACTAAAGTCTCAAAAATGGTTAAAGATTTTACCCACTGTTGTATCGGAATATAATAATACAATTCATTCTTCCATCGGTGTTTCTCCAATGGAAGCTAGTCAAAACCCAGATATTATAAAGTTTTCTTCTGCCCTTAATAATTTTAAATAAATAATATTTAAATATTAAACCCAAATTTAAAGTTGGAGATCGCGTTCGTATTTTCAAATATAAAAGTAAATTCGAAAAAGGTTAGGTTGGATACTGGACAAACGAAATATTCACCGTTGTTAATGTAAACACCACATCACCTCCGACATATGAATTAATCGATCAAGAGCAAAAACAAATCATAGGTAGGTTTAATCAAAACGAACATCAAAAAACTGACTTTTAAAAATGAATAGCTTTCTCGATAAATATAGAACTGATACAACCACAAACTTTCAACTTATGAGACAGGCGAATGATTTAAATATATCACAGTTTTATTATTGTATGAGAGATAAAATAAATGATCTCAAATATAAGAAAGGTAAATTTTATGCTATAACAAATATACATACTTCCGATCAAAAAGGAGTTTATCATTCTGCTTTGTACAAAGACTCTTCAAATAACTTATATTTCTTCGATTCTTTTGGATTAGAACCCACTGAAGAGATAGTGCAATTGACTAATAAACCAATCAAATGGTCAACTTTTCAAATTCAAATACCAGGACAAAAGTTTTGTGGACAGCTTTCACTTTGGGTTTTATATCAGTTGAGTTTAGGAAAACAACAGTTTGAAGAAATTGTAAAAAATTTAACTTAATAAAAATGGCGAACAAGTTTGGATTAGAAACCAAAAAACCTAACACTAGAGCATGGATAAATAAAGCGAAACCTTACTTTGTGGATCAAATCGGAGACACACTTCAAGGTGATTTAGATATGAACAATTTCAAAGTAACTAATTTAAAGTCTCCGGAAAACGATAATGACGCTGTTCAAAAGAAATATTTACGGGAACAAATAAATTCAATTGAAGTAAATAAAAACCATTTAGAAGATAAAATAAGTAATGTGAAAAGATTCTTCAAAAGTCAACTAAATAATATAAATGTTTTTAATGATACTAAACTACAGCAAGAAGTAGCAGGTTTAATAAGTTTTATTCAAAAACAATTGGTCAACGTAGTGAACAAAACTGAGTTACAAAATTTAATTGATATCTGAATTAGATGATAAGATTGCAAAACAAAAATTAGACATTCAACAATTAATAGATAACATTCCAGATGAAAATGAAGATACGTTTCAACAGGAATAAAATGCTCTGGAAACTAAACTTAACAGTGGATTACAAAAATAAAACATTAAACAACAAATACAAAACATAGATGATAGCAAAATCAAAACCTATATTCAGCAACAAATACAGAACATTGATGATAGCGAAATCAAAACCTATATTCAACAACAAATACAAAATATTGATGATAGTGTTATTCAACAACAAATAACCACTATTAATAACGAAGTTTTAAAATAGGAGAAAAATATAGAAAAGCATCTCAAGGAAGAAAATACATCATATTATTTCAATCTTCCATTTAGAAATTTGAGTGATGGAGATGTTTCTTCTATTACTTCTAATATTCATAAATCATTGGAGTTTGAATTTTAAAAAAAATGGATTTACAGCAAATATAAGAGCATGATTTTCCCCAAGGCATGTTTGATAGTGATTGTCCAACATATTTTCCGAGGAAACATTATAATTGAAATTAATTTTCCTATCCAGGTAAAAGTTGATTCAATATTCTTCAGACAAAAATTACTTTCATCTAATCAATTCATCGCTCGTAAAGTCTTTCAGTTTATCAATGGTACAGAAAATGTGGAAACTAAAGAATTAGAAATTAACGACGAAAACAGAAAGACTCATCACTTATATGAAATTAAAACGAGTGAAAAATATATAGATAGGTTTAGAATGTTAATCACTAGATAAAGAAGATGATTATTTTTCATGATATTGGAAACGGAAGTCCACCATCAGCAAGTATTATTAGAAATCCAGAACCACAAAAAGAAGATACAACAACCAGTTATCAGTTTTTAGGAGCGACAGACTTTGAACACATAAAACTATATTTTGTTAATAGTAGTTATTCATTCAAACATTCCTCTTAAACTGATTTATTTACCTCAATCGATATTTATAAAAGTCAACAAGATAAACAATTTATAATATTTTCATCAATAATTGAACGTAATGGTAGATTAGAAGTTGGAGATATATATACTTGTAGATGTATGATAAAAATCAATATCGAAAAACCAAACTTTTCAGTTCATCTGAATAAGATTAATGGTTCGAAAGAACAAATATCGTTTGTAACTGTAAAAGTTGTTATTATTAAACCTGAAATAATTATAACAGATAATGAAAAATACTGCCTGGTGGACATCTTACTGGGCAAGCTATTGTAGATATTAAACACTTTCCATCTTTTGCTTTATCAGAAGTTCACTTAATTTAATTACCTAGAAAATGGAACTAGAAAGCAGACAAAACTACATGATAGAAAAACAAAACGACCTAAAAGAAAAACTAAAACACTTTAAAAAATGCAGAAAAACATGGAGTAGAATTGATTCTGTTTTCAAAACATTAAGCACAGTTCTAACAGTAGGGATAACAGTGGCAACAACCATAACCGGTGGATTAATGCTTCCAATAAATGTCCCAACTGTATTAGCCGCATTCACTGCCGTTCAAACTTCATCTTGTGGATTGATTACTTTAGGTTTTACATCAAAACAGAAATCTCATTATAAAAAGAAAACAGAAATTTTAAATACATATCTTAATAAATTATTCATATTTTTTGAAAGATCGAGAGAAGATAAGAACATAACCATTGAAGAATTAGAAGAATTCAATGAAATTTTAGATAAATTTGATATAGAAATATCATCAATAGAAGTGAAAAATTCCTAGTTAAAAAATAGATACTTAAAAATATGAATATAATTGAAATTTTAGATGATGAAACATTCATATTAAATGTGCTTTTTTTTTTAACACAGACTACACAAAAGAATTTCAAGATTTCATCAACAATTTTTCAAAATCAAAGAGTAAAGGAGATATGACAACTGCTAAAATCAGTAAATTCAAATCACATTTCTGTCTCATTAGAAGAAATAACAAAACCTTAGGCATTAAAGAATTAGAAGATAATTACGATGAAAACGTATGGAGAACTTGTAGAGATGATAATGCGGTAACACGAGTTTCACCTCTCAAACTAAATGTTTTTCCATCATTTCACGATGATTGTTTAAACGCATGGGATTGCATGGGATTTGCGAAAAACAAACGAATAAAGCTATACCTTATTCTTGCACGTTAATTAATTTAGAAAAACTAAGAAAAATGTTCAGACAGAATAAAACGTAACTTTCCAGATTTGAATCCCACTGATAGTGTTCCAGAAGAATTTTATGATAAATTAATGAATATAGTAGAAATATTTGTGGGTAAAGATTGCATTGATCAAACGTTTCAACGTTTAGGAAAAATAAATCAAAATAGATCAAAAAAGATTAACATAAATATCTCATAACGGTAGCGGTTTTGATAACTGGATCGTGCTTAAAAATGCAAAAAAACTAACGCAATGTCCACTAGTAACAGCTAGAGGCATTCTATCTCTACCTTTAAGCGATAAATATTTACAGAAAAAATGGAAAAGACAAAAACAAATAATTGGCAACTCTAATTATCTGCAAAATATTAATTTCATATGTTCCTATCAACATGAAAAATCTAGTTTGGCGGCATGGGGAAATAATCTAATAAACCAATGAATTTGAGAAAGATCACCGATATTAATATTGCAAAATACACTGAAGATAATTGGGAATCTTTCAGACACGAATCAGAACCTTATGCTAAAAGAGATACGTTATGTCTTGGAGCTTGTTTGATAAAATATAACAAAGTTATGAAAGAAGTTGTATTCCAGAACATTTCCCATGATCAAACGGCTCCTTCTTTATCTTTAAAGGGTTGGTATTATTTATATCATTACCACAAAGAAATGGTAGAAGAAGAATGGTATGAAAATATAGAAAAAGTTTACTCACATACACAATATAAGATATTTTATCAGACAATCCATTAAGGAGGAAGAGTTTCTGCTAACAGAAAATCATTTGAAACGAATAAAATGGATGAAATTTGTAATGTATTAAAGGAGTTTTGTGAAGTGATAATATAATTGAAACTGGCACTAAAATCAGATTCAGAAATGGTTCCTGTTCAGATGTTTTAACATCGGTCGATCAAGTTGGTGGACGAATTATTAAAATATTAGATGGTATAGTATACGAAGAAAATTTTAAAACTCCACCCTATAGAGATTATATTTCAATTTTGAGAGATCTAAGAAATAAATATAAACGAGAAGGTAATATCGTGGGTAGTAATTGCATGAAATTATTAGGTAATTCCTTGTATTGTAAATCTATTCAGAAGGATATAACTGCATCGAGACATTTATGGAGTGAAGCAACTTTAAAAACCAACTTCGATTCACATGTCAAAAACTATCCTAAAGTAAATAACACTCAATATATCGTTGAGATAAATGATGAAGAAAAAGAATTTGACTGTATACCTCCTAAATCTACACGACTAACACCTAGTCATTTGGGATCATTCGTATTATCTCACAGTAAAAAAATAATGAATAATTTTATTCAATTAATAGATGGATTTTATAAGCCGGAAATATACTATACAGATACTGATAGTTTATACATTTCATCTAGCAATTGGGATAAATTAAATGAAGCTGGGTTGGTGTCCGAAAATGATTATTGTAAAGGAAAGAATGCTTACGGTGATGGTTGAATTATATATGGTTTATATATAGCCCAAAAGTCAAATACAATATCATTCTAACTTCTGACGGTATTCTAAAAGAAAAGAAAACGTTAAAGGGATACTCTAATGATAAGGTAGATGTCGAAGATTACTTTCAGTTAGCTAGCGGACATGATGTGACGAATGAATTTAACAAAAGATGGGAAAAGAGGTTCACCAATGGAATAGTTATTCCAAAGGATGATGATACACAAAAGAAAGTTTTCAAAAGTTATCTGAATCTCGTTAAGAGAAAAGCACCAGATGATGAAGGAATTATGTATCCTTACAATGATGGAAAAGAATTGAACATGGATGACAACTACGAATTTAATGATTAGGATTACCCAACTATTCAAGAAGAGAATGAAGAGTTAGTTCTTTTGTTTTAAATGAAGTTGAATAACAATTTCCTCGTTACCAAAATCTATAAACCTATTTTTACCATCTTTGATTTCCAGATTTATATCTTTAATCATAAAGGAATCAAGTGGTAAATATGTTGTTTGAAATGGTTTCTCTATAATTCTATATCCAATCGGTACAGTGAATGTTCGAATGCTGTAAATAATCTGACGTTTGTATTTGTTGAAAAATTCACCGTTTATCAAATTGCAGTGAATATTAATGACATTGATATCATTCTCAATATTAGCTTTGTGTGGTGCTAAAGTGGATTGGGTGTATATTATTTTATCAAAGCCTAGTAAAGTATTTAATGAATTTTCTACGTTGAAATCAACTTGACTCTTATTTCTTAATATCAATTTTATTTTGTTTAGATTCAAATTACCTTCGAATTCAATATTGTTTCTACCATTTAGACTTCCTCAATATTCTGAAAGGTAATCGTAATGGCTACGTATTCATAGCTTTCTGGTAGTAAACGTATGGTTTTGATTGTAACTTCATTATCTGTTGATATTTTTTTTATTTGGTAATTTTCTCGTTGATATTTCTAATGGAATTGAAATAATTCAAACCCAATTCATATTCTTGATTGCGATCGAGTTCGTACTCATAATCTAGAGACAATTAAATGTCTGATTTATTTGAGGTGATAACGAATAGTTGTTCTTTATTTGACATTTTTTAATGACTATTTTCAATCACGCTTTTATAATCATTTTTATCTATAATACCTTTCTCGAGAAGTCTTTTTAATATGCAATTTACTTCATTATATTGTCTGTGTGATCGATGCCGCTAATAAACTAGTGTCCAAAAGAAACGATACCACCTGTTTGCAACGACATAAAAGAAAAACTAAACAATGCAGAAGTTTAGGATTGGTGTTATGCTTTTGAGAAATCCTTTCACAACATCTGTACAAAAATTTCATTTCAATAAAATCTGTACAACCAATATGACAAGCCTTTAAAGATGGGTGGGGTCGAAAAAAGAACATTTCGTTAGAGCACTGATCACAGAAACAACGGGAAATGTCACACCACACGTCACAAAGTCAAGTCAGTAGTGGGTATGTCCACCGTGAGCATCAATACATGCCAGAACACGCCTACGGACTGATGCCGTCAAACGTCTGATGACGTTGGGAGTGATGCATTGCCATTCCTCGAGGAGACATCGTTCCAAGTCCTGGACGTTGACTGGAGGCACACGGCGACGTCGGATTTGCCGATCGAGGTGGTCCCATAAGTGCTCGATGGGATTCATGTCCGGTGAACATGCGGGCCATGGCAAAACCTGTACGTTGGCGTTGGCAAGGAAGTTCTGTGTCAATCTTGCTGTGTGTGGCCTTGCATTGCCATGTTGGAAAAGGAGTCCACGAAGCTGTTGCTGAATAAACGGCACCACAACAGGCCGTAGGATGTCATCAATATAACGCTGTGCATTCAGGTTTCCACGAATTACGACAAGCCTCGTTTTGACGTCACCACATATGCCACCCCAAATCATTAACCCTCCACCTCCAAACGGCCGGACCTGTTGGATACAGTTAGGCGCCAAACGCTCACCAAATCGTCGGTATACAAGTTGCCGTCCATCGTTTTTGAAGATGAGGAATCTGCTCTCATCAGAGAACATAACACGTGCCCAGTCCCGCCGTTTCCAACGTCGAACTCGCCTGGCCCAGATCAGTCTGTTGTTCCGGTGTCGAGGCGTCAGACGGTAGGGATGACGTGGCCGGATACCATACTACCATATAGTCTCCTGTAGACGGTCTGTTGACTGATCCTGTGTCCCAGTGCTGTAGCTGCCGTGGACGTCGCTGTTACGGTGCGGTTCCTCGGGTGTAATACCCGGATGTAACGATCTTCACGGGGCGTGGTTACTTGTGGTCTTCCACTCCTGGGCCTGTCTGACGTCTGACCTGTCTGACGTAACCGCTGCATCAACCTGGTGATAGTGATGCGTGCGCAGCCCAACCTTCTGGCGACGTCGACGTGTGTCGCACCTTGTTGGACCATTCCAACGGCTCTCTCTCTCTTGATGGCTGTCAAACATGGCATATCTTGTGTTCTTTTTGTTGCTGTGATATCAATGTGTCTGATCAGCCGTTTTATACAATGTCACTTTCATGAAATTTACGTTTTTTCCCGGAAGTGATCACGTGTTCCCGGTATTTTTATCGACTATGCTGTGTTTGGGATGTGCAATACGAATTGGCATGTTTTCATATTAGACAATTCACTTAGTAAAAAACAATTTTGAAAATAAGTTGGTATCGTTTCTTTTGCACACTAGTTTATTATTTGTAATCTATTAAGTAGTTCTTCGTTGTTGTCGGATAAAAACATTATACCTTGTCCAGATACCATATCTTCGAATTCATCTATTTCTTGTATGATTGGATTGTTGTCTTCAGCATAATCATCTACTTCGTCAACTTCATATTCATCATCTTTGGTGTAATACTCCTTGGTAAATCTGCTTTAGGGTTTGAAAAATAATGTTTTATATCATCTAAAGTCCTAATTACAAAACCACAATATTGAATCGGTTTGGGGTGATCTATATGAGGTTCTATACGAGGGGGTCTAATTTCTTTTTAATATCCTCTTGAGATTTTGATATCGGTTGAAATAAAGTTTGTAGATTTTCTGTTAATCCAAGTTGTTGTAATTTGTTATTTTCAACTTTGGTCTTTATTTTATTCTTAGCTTTGATATATTCTCTATTTCTTTTTTAAATATTATTTAAATCATCCATTTTTAAAAAATAAAATTAACATATGCCGATCATAACTCTTTCACCCACAGGATTTCTAGTATTAACAAATACATATCCATGATCATCTGGGTTTCTCCATTGTGTTTTACAAACCTTTTTAAATGTATCTCTATCCATTCTGTTATTTATCGACTGAATGATTTGAGATAAATCTTTGTCATTTAATATCAAATAATAAAAAAAAATTTGCATAACATAGAATCCATCCCATAAAAAGATTGGGATTGGTATATGCAGTGACTGTTGTGATGTCTTCCTTTCGTGAAGAATTCTTGTTGAACAGCTTGATTTCTTTGTGCTACGCAGTCGTCAAACAATATTAAGTTCTTTCGATTGCTATCAATATTAGACAAGTCTAGATCATTAACATTTTTAGTAAGAAAAACTATTATATCCGTTGGATGGAAAGATGGATTCTTTGCTTTAATGAAGTTATCTATATCTTTTATTTCCACTTCTTCTTCGTTTTCTTCATAATATTGAAATATGTCTTGAACATCTTTCTTTGGTAAATATTCTAAAGCTTTGAGAAATTGATAATATGATTGCTCTGGTGTTGTTGTGAAGATATACAGAGAATCGAAATCTAAAAGGTTTGGTGTTGTTAACATGTTAAAAAACATGCATATACACATGAGCATTGGGTTACTAGGAAATATTTCTGAATGTTTGAATTTCTTTCCCATTTTTCATTCTATATTTTTGTTCCAAAAATTACTCAATCTCCTTTATACTTTCAAAAAAATAATCCTTCTCCAGTGTGTATGTTTTTTAAAAATATTCCATTACCCTTATGTTTGACTTTCATTTCTCTTGTGTCGATTTTGTCTATGATACTGTTTAATCCTTGTTTAAAAGTTTTCTTAGTTTTTTCCCCAAATCGTTTTCCAAATTCTTTAACTGTTCCCAATATATCTGCCATTCCTGAAACTTTCTTTTCCATATAAGGTTTTTTACCCTCTGCTGCCAACTTTTCCATTGCTAAATTGTATCTGTTCTTCGGCTGCTTTTACTGCAGCTGCTTTATTTTCGTTGGCAGCTTTACTGCAGCTGCTTTATTTTCGTTGGCAGTGCTTACCCCAGGCAGCTGTACCACCAGCTAATACACCCGCCGTGGTAAGACAACTAAATATCAAAGGTAGGAGAGGTAAAAATCCACCTTCCTTTGCATTCGCGTCAATTCTTTATAAGTCTATTTCGTCTCTGACTTAACAATATTTGTATTTATCAATAAGTTTTTTAGTTATGTTGATTTTTTTACTGTTGAAAGTTATTACAGTTGGGGAAGCTGTTTCAATAGCTTCTATTATTTTCTTGACTTAAGTTTCAGGCTTCATTTTTAAGGGTGTATTTTTAACTCAATTCTTATCATTCTTCTATCTGCTATTTTAATTAAATGTTTTGCTTCTTCAAATTATAAACAACCGGTTACATCTCCTTTTTTTTTTTTTTCGATTTGAATATTTATGTTCACTCCTGTTTTGAAAAGATCTTCTTGGTGAGCTGGTAGATCAAAACAGAAGATTGGGTGATAAATTGCAAAATCTACATATTCAAACTGAGGTGGATTTCCAAATAATTCACACATATTTTTATAGTTTCTATACAATTCATTATAATCCTTCGTGGATGGATTAATTGTTAAAGGTTGGTTAGGATAATTATCGTTGTTTAATCTTACTTGAACTTTATGGATTATAGGATCTTGAGTTTGGTTCATTGCTACTCTGTTATTCGTCTGTAAGTCTGGTAAGTTCTTGAAACCAACCATTATATATCTTGCTGGTTTAATAGTGTTAGTGATTGGCCATGTAGTGGATTCTCCAGTTAAAGTCATGCTACCTACAGTGTTACGATGAAGAAATGCTATTTCAATATCTTTAGTTAACGAGTTGAATATTCTCGTTTCTACTTCAATTGATGGTGTTATTACGGGTATATGAAGTTGGAGATTTGTTATTTCTAATTTTGCATCTGAACCATTTTCTCCAAAGAATATCTTATCATCGTTGATTTCACTTTGTAGATGAATTTTATATGGTAGCCCTATGGAAACTTGTCTGTGTTCCAACAGACCGAAGAAAGGATATAATTTCCAATTTACGTAATTACACCACCTATTATTCTCAACAACATTGTTATACTGATTTACTCGTTTTTTCGAATCCATGATTAGCTGCTCGTGCTACTCTTTCTATTGTGTTTCGAGCAACAACTCTCACTCTAGCTAAATCCACATCATTTGCAACATTTCTTACAGGTTGTTTTAAAACACTTCCATCACCAACATCGGGTATCCAGCCTGAGACTGAATCGTAATTTTTAAGGATATAAAACTGTTTTCAACATTGTATCAAATTCATCAGGATGTTTAATGGTTTCTATAGGATTTGAACCAGCTTCCAAAACAATCTCGCTAAATAAAGATGGAAAGAAATTGTTTTCTAACGTTGTATTAGTTTGTGGTACACGATTTTCATTGCGAGTTCAATCTTTTATTTTGAAATCGCATCTGAAATAAGCATCGGAAAGAAGCAACCAATTCGATAATGAATTAATTTCGAATGTAATTCTACCACCATCATTCAACTGGAATTTAGAACCAACAGTCGGTGAGATGATAATATAATCCTCTTTTTTCTTGTTAAATGAATTGGATCGTATAATTTAAAGATTGGATCTAGTATGTAATTTTTATTTGCCATTTTTAAGGTTTAAAATTTGTGTAGAAATTGTGGTCGGTTTTTTCAAACAATAAAATGTAGGGTGAATAGGTTCTTTTTTGAGGTGTGAATCGATGGAATGTAGGGTGTGTAGGTCTTTTTTGGAGTGGGAATTGATTGAAGGTGTTTTTTGGTGTAGGAATTTATGAAATGTAGGGTGTGTAGGTGTTTTTTGGGACCTTTCAATATGTTTTGCACTTTCCCCATCGAATGGGGAATCCCCTTGCGAACATATTGAAAGGTCTAATACTACTCAGCAACTCAAATTATAAGTCCAGTGAAGTAAACATAAAGTATGAATTGATAAATTGTCTTCATAAACCTGACCTTCAAATATATTCAACATGTATTTTTAGAAATGTTTCGCAAGATTTGTAATTGAACTTGATGTTTATATCACAATGTAATTTCACTTGTTTGGACATCACTAATTACTAATGTCACAGACTGTTTATGAATAATTTTTCTAGAATGCAACAAAACTCAGGCAATCAGTGTCCAGCGCAACTGGGATTCAGAGAAACAGTAGTAAAACAATTCACTTGGGGTCATTCAATATAATGGTTATACCTTCCACAGCAAGCTAATAATCAATCACACAAAGTTCTAGAAAATCTTCGAACTTCAAATTTGGACTTAAGCCATGTGTGGCACAGAGTGGGACTCTTACTTACACAGTTGTCTTCTTTAAATCGTAACCAATTCCAAAAAAAAAACGTACAGGATATACTTCATATGATGATGAATAATAAGAAACTGTTTAACTAATGGTCTCTTTCTATTTTATCTAAGAAATCCCAGTAATTAATTTTCTCCTTGTTATTTCAGAAAATTTTTTTTTAAAATACTTTACAATGAATGGTTCGATAGAAATAAGAAGAATTTCTCCTGATAAAATTATTTATTCTTATTTTTAGGTTTAAAGATTTTTATAATAATTTCAAAATTACTTTCTTTTGCCAAGTTTATACATGATTACACCATAGTTGTAAACAAAACTTTAACCCTGTGCCAGTGCCTTTTAATGATTAGTAACTTGTTATTTTCAATCATGTATGCCTTATACATTAAATAATTTCCAAAAAATGATATCATATGACAGTCATGTTTTAAGTTAGGTTATGTTATTAACCGTGCATTTTTCTTTTTTAATTTCATCATATTGAGAATTAAAAGTTATTCATTGATATTAATGTTAAGGAATTCTTTTTACACATTTCAGATTTTCAACATTATGGATCACTACTTTATTTCTATATATCAATTTGTTTAACTAACTCTACAAACAATACTCTTCAGTTATTGCCTACATGACTGTGTTCGTAAAATTTGCTTTACAACATTACACCCTATAATTCCTAATCTCTAAACAGTTTCGGAGATGTAGCTATGGTGGTCGGCAGCATTGAGCATGATCCAGTCTTATTTACATCTTGATTTTTGGTTTATTTTCTTTTAAATTACCTTTCCCTCTGTCTTCAGCATGAAGTACCTTGCAGGCCTCTTGTGATCTCTTGGGACCTCCAGTTTTCATATAATGCCATGCAAGGGGAATTTCCTTTTTAAAGACAACATGAAATGTTGATAAATTGGCCTGAAAAATAACTTTCAAATAACATATTTATGAGCAGCAATTTATGCCTCAACTGCTGCAAAATGTTGGAGCTGGTACCAGTCATAGTGGATTTTTAGTAAATAGTAGTAAAATATTTGATCCATAGTGCAAGATCTTTGTATACTACACTTCACCATTTTGAGCAAGATATAACTTATGATATAAATAAATGACTGATAGTCTGTTCAGGAAGGTTTTGAGTGGCCATTTCACTGTTGATTTATAGGTGAGATTATCAAGACAATTCTACTTTTATTTCATTTTACACAATTCTTATAATGGAAATCTTTGAATTATTAAACATATTGAAGATAAGGTAGCCAAGTGAATAGAATTTATTATTATCAAGGGAGAAATTGTCAGCTGCTCAGTCGCTAAAATCATCCAATGTCATTTCTTGTCAGGGATGGCTGCATTAAGGTATATTGATGTTAGTCGCTTTGTTCTTCTAAATTAAGCTTCACTCTTCTGAGACTTGACTCAACAAAATCTTATTACCTTTTTAGATTGTGCCAATGATAGGCATATCTGTTTTATTTTTTAAGCAATCAGAAATGTTACTGGGGCAAAATATTTTGATTAGATTATTTCTTAAGATAGTTTAGCAAGAAATTCTAAAAAATTTCCATGTGGGTGTATATTTTGCTTTGCCCCTGTCCGTCCACATTTCTTGTATGCACGACAGAGCATACATTTCTTATCTGATTTTGATGAAACTTGGTATGCATGTATATATCGATGAGATCTCGGTCAAGTTCGAAATTTGTAATAATCAGATGAACTTGACTTAGTAAAAACGTGTTAAATTTGGCTTGTATGCAAGATAAAGGCTACAGTTTTTATCTGATCTTGATGAAACTTAGTATGCATATATATATTGATGAGATCTCGGTCAAGTTTGAAATTGGTAATAATCAGATGAACGGTTTCAGAGTAATTGCCCTTGACTTAGTTAAAACTTGTTAAGTTTGGCTTGAATGCACGATTAAGGCTGCAATTTTTATCCGATATTGATGAAACTTGTGAATATTGACAAGACCTCAGTCAAGTTCGAAATTGGTAATAATTGGATAAACGGTTTCAGAGTTATTGACCTTGACTAAGTAAAAATGAGTTAAAATTGCCTTGTATGACCAATGAATGCAAGAATATTGATCCCATCTTGATGAAACTTAGTATGCATGTATATATTGATGAGATTTCGCTCAAGTTCGAAGTTTGTAATAATTGGATGAACGATTTCAGGGTTATTGCCCTTGATTTAGTAAAAACCTACAAATTTTGCTTGATACATGATACAGGATTTTTATCTAATCTCGATGAAAGGTATATATGGACAAGATCTCTGTCAAGTTGAAATTGGTACCAATCGGGTGAACGGTTTTGGAGTTATTGCCCTTGAATTAATTCAATACGTCTAATTTGACTTGTAGGCCTGATAGTGACTACATTTTTTATATGATCTTGATGAGATCTCAGTAAAGCTTGAAATTAGTAAAAATCAGATGATTGGTATCACACATTAAACCACTACGGTACAGACTTTGTTATCATTTCTGACAACTGGTAGTGGGCGTATGTTACCTTGCCTGGCAAGCAATCTTTTTGATAAATATCTTACCAAGCTTCAAGCTGGTCACTTCTCCCAAAATTTGTGGAAAAACATCAACCGTTGACAAGAAAATTTGTTTTAAAACTAGAAATAATGGCCAGAAATTTTATGTAATATCTATTTACATTTTGTAAAATCTATTTGACCTTTTAAGTAACAATTTTAAATTTATTTTAAAGCCAAATACTAATGTCTTTTACCAAATGCTGTTCATCAACCAAATGAAAATCTTTCAACAAGTTTTATATTGGCATTAGATATACCAACATTCACCTAATGTTGCAATGCTCAAGTTATATTCTTAGACTAGTAACGGTGGGTTCATTTTGCCGCATTGCCCAACTGCACAAAAACGACTTGTAAAACGAAACTAAAGGTTTTCTGATAAAATCCGAAATGACCATTTGTTTCACATGAAACGATATATTTTAATCTGTTGCCCCGCATCGATTTTCTTTTTATTTATAATTTAGACCTGTTAGGGAAATCGCAAGTATAGTTTTATGGTAAAATCTGGAATAAAATAAATACCAAGTACAAACGATCAGAACCGTAATATAAATTACATAAATTCACGAAACAAGACAAGTTCAATAAATAAATTGGTCGTAACTTGCAAGATTCTACCTTGTCCACCAGGACGTTCTTGGACTTATCTGGAACCAGTAGGGGTTGAGTCACTGCCGAATTATAGGGCACATCTGATACGAGAACTTTAAACTTCTCCTCACTTGATATCAGACATTTCGGTTGCCATTTTTTCTAGCACATGGGAGACGTTATAAGCACGCAGTAAAGGGACATAACTCTTGCAAGTTATGACCAATTTTATTCATTGAACTTGTCTTGTTTTATGGATTTATGTCTTTTGTATTTATACGGTTCTGATCGTTTGTACTTGGTATTTATTTTATTCCAGATTTTACCATAAAGCTATACTTTCGATTTTCCTAACAGGTCCAAATTATAAATAAAAAGAAAATCGATGCGGGGTAACAGATATTTCGTTTCATGTGAAACAAATGGTCATTCCGGATTTGATCAGAAACCTTTAGTTTCGTTTTACAAGTCGTTTTTGTGCAGTTGGGCACGATGCGGCAAGTTGAGCAATGCGGCAGAACGAACCAACCGGACTAGTAATTGCGCTTGGTTTTTAATTTTTAATTTGTAGAAGATGTTGATTGCTGAATATGTTAGAGAAGATTTTGTAGATTTGTAGA